AGTCAACTAAAAATTATTTTTAAATCCCAAACAATTATTATTTCTTAAATTTACACATAAAAGCTTTTCAAAATTACGTCCAGACTGCACACGCAAATTGAGGTAAGTAAAAATAAGATTTTTAAGGCTAACGAACGCGTAATAGAGGCTTAAACCACAAGATGACCTTTTGGGTCATCACACTAAGCATGATTTCTAACATGATTTGCAGTCAAATTTCTATAACACAAGGAGAGCATATAGGTAACAACAAGTTATTTAACTTTACAGTTCCACAGAATGGACCAAGTCCCAATTCATATGGGGCACGCCCAGACGCTCGTCACCTAACATGTGTGTCACCTTCGAACCATTCACATAACGCATAATCTAAGGTTTCATACCCCGAGGAGCATATTTAAAACAGTTACTTACCTCCATCCGAGCAAAACACTACTCCAAAAATGCCTTTGCGTCACGAATCGAACTCCAAATGACATAAATCTAACCACAAGTAGTACAATACAGTCAATATAGAATAAAGGAATAAATTCCACAAGAAAACTATGAAATTCTAGCAAAAATTAAAAATCAGCTAAAACTCGGCCCCCAAGCCACGTCTGGAAATCCGACAAAAGTCACAAAACCCGAAAACCCATTCACTCATGAGACCATACCACATTTACTCAAATCCGATAACAAAATCCCATTCAAAATCACCTCACGGAGCTAACGGAATCATCAAAATTCAAATTCGAGGTTGTTTACACATAAGTCAACATCGGATTAGCTTTTCCAACTTAAGCTTTTAATTTAGAGACTTAGTGTCTCAATTCACTCTGATATCTCTCCGGACCCGAATGAACTAACTCGGTAAGTCATATAATAACTGTATAATATAAAAGGAGTAAAACATAGGGGAACAGGGCAACAACGCTCAAAACAACCGGCCGGGTCGTTATATGCCCTTTATAAAAGCAGGATACTTATGCACCGGGCTACCATTTAAATAGATTAATGCAAGACTTGTCAAAGTTCTATATTTGCCACTGGCACAACTGCAAGCTTGATTTTTAAGGTCCTTTGGTAGAGCTGACCATCTTTTTCCGCTTGCACTTACTTCTCATAATTTGAATATTCAGCACGGCATATGGAATTTTCTATCAACTTCTTTGTCAATTTTAGACTTACTGAATATTAATGATGAGAAATAATTTATCTATTTATTCAATTGTAGCCAAACATATCTTTCTCATCTCCATTACCACAACGTTATTGAACTCATTAAAGCAAGAAAAGAAAAAGTTAAGTGTGGCTGATTTATAATGGATTATTAGGTTTCACAATTTCGAACGTCACAAATTCTTCTGACGAACTAATAATCGAGCCATAAAATTATTGACTAATTTGAGAAGAAAAGTCCCTCACAAATAGAGATAGATTCTATTTTTTAATCCGTCACAAATGTTTTACGTATTAAAGATTAATTCGTCAAAAACTATAATATACCAAGGACGGATTGTTAGGATCGAAAATAATANAGACTCTTTTCATTGTCATTTTCAGGGGAAGACAAACTATTTTCCTTTTTATATTTTTATATATATATATATATATATATATATATATTAAAAGAAACTATCATCTAAAGTTGTTTAGTTAAGTGACATATATCATTCTACTAAAAAAAACTTATTGAGAGAATAAATTCTCCTCCTAAACAAAGCTCTCTAAAATAGTATATTTTGGATATTATTGTTATTGTTGTATTTTTTGGAAGGATCATCGATTTATAAAAGTGCAGAACATTGTCTTCCAAGAAAAGAATAAGTCATATAAAGTAGATGTATTCCTTTTAAGCATCTTTTTCCCTATACTTCAAGAAAGATGTTTATCCGTAAAACAGTACCGTTGGATTTATACGTGGTTTCTAGACAAGCGAATTAATTTGATCCAGAAATAATAAGATAATTGATGAAGTATGCAACACTTAGCCTTGAGATGGAGATGAAATAGCAGAAACAATAGTTCCGGGAGTAGGGCTTCCACGCACAACAACAATGAAATCAAAAAGCAAGAGGATAAAATTGTATTATGCTTTGGATAGAGTGTAGCATAAGTTGCCAAAAAAATCGTGTCGCTTACAATGATAACTGAGCTCATTATTTATAGCTACGTCTTGGGAAAGGGGTCTTAGGATCGTGCCCTTATTTAATGTCAATTATGAGGGTCATTGATGAAGATGTAACAACGAGTGTAAATGCCAAATTCCTTGTAACATGTAATCGTACTTAATGTCGTGCAATATTCTCTATTAAAAGCCACTGGGCGAAGAGTATTTTTTATATCCCTATGAGCGTTATTCTTCACGGAGACAGACATAACAGTTGACTTCGGTTTTGGCCAGCCCCCCGTCTTCGGCTCCACGTGTCCCTCTTTTGATCGGCCACATAGCATAGCATATTTTACCCTATACAAATAGTCGCCCTGCTTTTCGATGACCTAACTTTTTATCACCCTAAAGTTGGTAGAAACACTACCGGTGGGAATTATTATAATTCCCTCTAAAGGCCTCTGACAATTTATTCGATACGTCTGTCCGTATTTAATTCCACGAACACGCAGTATCCCATGATTTAGCAAAGCTTTTGCGGATTGTCGAGGTAATCATGCACATGGATTTAGCAGCCAAAATTTGTACTTATACGCATCAACCTTCTACCTCTATACTCCATAATTTTCCAAACTTTCCTTGTTCGACTTGCATCCTGCTATTCAATTCTTCTACAATTCTTTTTGAGTAAAAACATTTTCCTTCTTCCATATAACGACTTCATCCTCAAAGAATACTTGTTCATCAAAGAACAAGAACAAGGCTGATGAATCTGCTCCTCCAACAGTGGGCTCCATCATCGCTAGAAGTCTCGTTACCACAAAAGACTTCGAAGAGAAATTTTCTTCTCTAGCCCTCGTACATGGGTCGTCAGTAGGTATCCTTCTTCATCCGTTCTTCCAGTATTTCTACTGTGAAGGAAGACTGAGGCTGCCATGATTTGGATATTGTTGCTCCTGATATATCAGAGCGAGTGACCCTACCCAATGAGGGTTTTACATATTTTTACATGTATCCCTTTACTTTGGGATCGTTCTCTTTGAGCGGAGAACTTGAATCCATTATTGCGGATTTTTGCGACCGATACCAGGTGTATTTGGCACAAGTAAGTCCTTTTGTATGGAGGACAGTTGCTTGCCTTTTGCGTTTGTTCCAGGAGACGGGCGAAGAGCTAACATTAGCTCATATGATGAATCTCTATTCTTCAAATATCTTCCAGGGGAATGATATACCTCTGTAAGTGCGGCCACCATGCTCTATTATCTAGCATGGATTATGAAAATGACTGTGGGTAGAGGGAATGGTTCATTGCAGTTTCCACCTACGATATCATTCCGGGAACGACTTCATCCTTTCTGGCAGCATGAAACCGCACTCGTAAGCTTTTTGTTAGATATTTATTTTATTAAACATTCTTCTATACCACCGTTGATCCCCCATCCTTTGCGTATTTCAGCAACTCGATGGGTCTAACCGATGGTTGAAGGTTTGAACCGGTGGGTCTGGAAAATCTTGGATGTCACGACGCCTGAAACCCGCACATGAAAGAACTGGCCCCCAAATACGGGTGGAAGGCCAAAAACCATAGTAACTCAAACTCACCTTGTTTTAACTTTTTATGTGAAGAATTTGATTGATGCTTTCTACTTGTATCTGAAATCAGGTCTTCCTGCGAGCTCCGTGGCTATCTCCAGGGAGGTCGCCAGAGCTGTCACACCTCCTTTTACTACCCCGGAAGGGTATAAGGGAGTTTTTTCCAATTTAAGTGACAATCGAAACAGGACAATTTTATTTTATTCAGAGTCTCCACTTGGAATAATTTATGGTGTCCCAAGTCACCGGTTTAAATCCCGAATCTAGGAAAGATTGACTCTGTTTTATAGTCCGCGAATACAAAATTCCAGGTAAGGAATTCTATTAATCCGGGAGAAGGTGTTAGACATTCCCAAGTTCCGTGGTTCTAGCACGGTCGCTCAACTATTATTACTGGCCTATTTATTTGATTTTAATACATTTTTAGCCTATGGTAGTTTTTAACTTATTAGCCGCTTTTAATTAATATTTAGGAAGATTCAATGTTATTTAAAACATGCCTTGAACCACGCCATATGAAATGCACCTGCGGTCCGCGACACATTTTATCTAACGTTGTTGAGATTTGGATTTGGGTCACATGAAATGCACACCCGAGTTTAAGGAAATCAATTTAAATATCGCACCTAAAGCAACTACGCACTTTCAAGTTTGCGAGGGCCATGAAAAAATCGACTAAATGACACGCCTCGATTTCTAAAGGATTAAAATTAATTAATTGAGGGCCATGAGTTATCTAATTTGTTTATGGAATACCTCAAGTCTAAATAAAGAGCCTAGTTGATTAATTAAAAGGCTAAAGGGATTTCGAATCTATTTAAAGCAGATGTCTAAGCTCAATTGATAATCAGCGGATTGCAATTGTAAAACTACTCAAATCATTTCGAAGATAATTTGGCCCAGCAGCAGTCCTCAATTGAGATAACCATATCGAAGAGAAAAAAGCCCACACATGATAAAGCATACAATTATCTAATTCACAAAGGCCTTCAAGCTTGAACCAGGCCTGCCGTGGGCAACACTTAGCAGCAGCAATTGAATGAGCTGCTGGGCTTGAGAATAAGGCCCAAGTAGCATATGATAAACAATTCCTATTCACAATTGACATTAAGTCCAATGCTCAAAAACAATTCTGATTTCTCAAATGACCTTAATCCCAGGTTCAAAGTAAATTTATACTCATGAAAAAGTAATGAAGACTGATTAATGGCAACACTTAAAATTTAACAAACCTTTTGACCTTACTGATTAACAATGACACATGATCACTATAATGTGAACAAAGTCTCTAAATGCTAAAAAACTAAATCACATATCTCAAGTAAACTTTGTATTTGAATCCAAATGCTGATGACATGAAAGCAGAATTGTGCAGCATTTCACTTCATACAATTCCCAAACTAACTCAACAACAATTACAATGAGCTTTAATCCAAACTTCTTTCATATAAGCAATGAGCAACATCTTGTAAGATCATCAGGCCAACTATTTTAAATCCCAAAATCTACAACTTTCAGTAGAAAACAAACAAAGACCAAACATCAAACATTTTATACCACATCCATAACAAAGAAAACTAAAAGAATTCAGCTAAAATTAAAATATTACAAGAAGTGAGTAGATGAAGGAACAGGGAAGAACAAGAAGTCAGTAACTCGAATAATTTTCATCATGAATCCATGTTCACGTTTGCACATTACACTTCAAAAGTCAGCCATGATTCGGGAAGTACCTGGAATGCAATAGAGAAACAAAGAAGAATGAGGATTTATCAACAGCAACAGAAAAGTGCAAATCAGCAAATCAACAACAGCAAACTCAACTTCCTGAAACCATTTCGAGCCCATAATGAATCAAAGATTACTTTAAACTTTAAAACCCAAAAAATCACACAAAAAGCTTCAATGTAACAATATTTTGTGATCAGTTTTTGTATTTTTCTTCTGATTCTTCAAACTTTTTAGTGTTTAGTATTTTCAGCAATTTCTAATTTTTAAGGTCTTCTGATCTCTCTTGAAAATTCAGGAAATGTCACCTTTATAGAGGAGTTTTAGGGCAGTAGTAGTTAGTTTCCAAACTTACCATTTACCCCTTCCCCAAATTCTCTCTATTCACTTCACACCCCAATTTAAAATATGTTTTGCAAACCAATCTCTTCCCCCACTTTCCTGGCAGCTTCCTTAGGCAGTTACAAGAGATTCCCTCCATTAAGATCTCCCAAATACCCTTCAAGAAGCTACTATTTACCTTCAGAGAAACTCAACTTATGGGTCAACTTAAACCAAAACCCCCACCCAACCCATCAGCCTGTATACTATAGCCCAAACTGAATTTTCAAACCCTGAACTTAGTCGAAACTTTTAAACAAACAGACCTCTGAATTTTTCAGAAGAAAAAGATTTCAATAGAGATGCTCGGGAAACAGAAATTTAAAGCAATTAAATCAACTAATTAATCAAATTATATCAAGATATTGATATGCTAATTCCCATTTCATTAAATGCCAAAATAAACCCAAATTGAAGAGGAGGAAGACTTAAAATCCTAATCATGCAAACAGAATGACTTTAAAACATTAAAATAAGAAAGAAAAGAGAAGAAACAGAAGGAGATGAGGACGAGAACAAAATAGAAGACAGAGAAGAAGGAGAAAAGAACAGAAATACCTAGATGGTCACACGAACAGGGCTTGACAAACCTTAGGCGACTTCGATTTGACCTGAAATTGATATTAATAGCATGTTCTCTTTTAGAACAAACGAACGATACTAGTTTTAGGCCCAATAGTTCATAGAAACTTGAAGACTTGAATGATTTTCTTTTCTTCATTTTTAGATTCAATACTATTCCGATTCGGTGAGGATTTGTGGAGAAGTGGTGGTGGATTGGGACTCAAGGATGAGTGGTGGTTGTATGGTTGGATTTTGGTGGTAGTTTGAGCTCCGCCGCCGGTCGGAGATGATGAAAAAGTTCAAGGCGGCGGGTCTAGGGTTAGAGAAGAGAGCGAGGAGATAAAGTACAGAGATACAAGGTACTCTATGAAATTTGGACAGTTATATCGAAAAGATGGGGCATTCCTAGGCCGTTGAATTGAAAGAGATCAACGACTCAGATATCTCATTTCACGAAACGACGCCATTTCGATTTGGAGATTGGACTGGGTATTGGGGTAGAGCTGGGCTGGCCTGAACAGGTTTGGAAAGGAAAAATGATTTTGGGTCTGGGGAAATTAATTGAATTGGCCCAAAAATCAGATTTCTTTGTTTATTTTCCTTTCCTTTTCATTTTCCAATTTTCATTCTTTTTCAAATTAAAATAAATCTAACTAACTCTTAAAAATTAAATCAACCGACCAAATTATATTAAAAACTCAACATAATATTTCCAATAATTAATTAAGTCCTAAATTAAAAGAAAAACTACAAAATTCGAAATTAAAGAGGTAAAATGCAACATGAATTATTTTTGTGATTTTTCATATAAAACAACTAATTACTAATTAATCTAATGACATAAAATCAAATCCTAAATGCAAATGCAATGTATTTTTGTAATTTTTTCATGAATTAAATAAAATTAAATATGCCCAGACAAATGCAAATAATTAGCCAAAATGCTACAAACAATCTACGAAAATGCAATAAATGGGAAAATTTATTTTTCGTGAATTTATGAGAGTAATCACGTGCTCACAGCTGCCCCTCTTTGCCCGGAAACACAAACAGTTTTTGTGCAAAGATAAAGTGAGCGAATACGAGCGATTTTTGCCCGTTTGAATACTCCGTGGGAAGCATTTTTGAAAGATTTGACTGTACCCTGCTTCTGAGGTTGCCTACATATCCTTGGCTATAAAGGAATCAGGTCAATGTAGTTCGAGAAGTCTTAGTAGCTGGGACTACCATGAAACTGTAATTTCACTGTTGCTACTACTGCTTATTAAACTCCTTATTACACCAAGAAAAAATAAAAAAAGCTAGACTTAACTATGATCTATGCATTACAAGAATCCTATCTATATCTTCAAACTTGATCTTGCAGTTCCTATTGCTCTGTTGACTCGTACTCTCCAGGTGAAATTCCTTTGTTGCCGATTTGAATTGTAATCTGAGATGCTTTCCCTTTTCTCCAGGTGGGTGTCTGATTGCTGAACTTGAATCGTTTTCTTTAGACCATTGTTGCATTCCCTTTGTTCTCCAGGTGGGTTCCTCATTGCTGAACTTGAATTATCTTCCTTTCCTCCGAAACTTGCCTTATTCTCTCTTTGTTCTCCAGGTGGGCTCTTGATTGCCGAACTTCCATTGAATATTGCTGCTTCCCTTTGTTCTTCAGGTGGGCTCCTGATTGCTGTCTTCCTTTGAACATTTCTGCTTCCCTTTGTTCTCCAGGTGGGCTCTTGATTACCAACACTTACGCTGCTTTTCCTCGAAACTTGAACTGTTTCCCTTTGTTCTTCATGTAGGCTCCTGATTACTGAACTCCTCTAAACCTTGCTTCTTTCCCTTCGTTCTTCAGGTGGGCTCCTGATTGATGAACTCCTTTTAACATTGTTGCTTCCCTTCGTTCTCCAGGTGGGCTCCTAATTGTTTTCTTCCTTTGAACATTGTTGCTTCCCCTCATTCTCCAAGTAGGCTCCTGATTACCAATACTTGCGCTGCTTTTCCTCGAAACTTGAACTGCTTCCCTTCGTTCTCCAGGTGGGCTCCTAACTTCCAACACTTGAACTGCTTCTTCCTTTGTTCTTCAGGTGGGCTCCTGATTACCGATACATGAACTGCTTATCCCTTGGAATTTGATTTGTTTTCCCTTTGTTCTCCAGGTGGGTGCCTAATTGCTTGACCCTGAACTGCTTTCTATCCTTAAAACTCATGTTGTTGTCCCTTGCTCTCCAGGTGGGTGCCTGATTTCAATAAAATAGTCAAAACAAAGAAAATTTTCTGCCCCAGTTTGGTAGCTGGACACATCTGTAAGTGTTAATTAAATCATGTTACCAAATATCACCAAGAATTTGAAAGCTAGATCCCATTGTCCAGGAGGGTCCTGAAAACTTCTAGTAAAATGACAGCTTTAAAGCTAAATTATATCTTTTAAAGGTATGACTTCTGCTAAATCTTGTTACCTAAGATAGTCTTAACACTACATCCCATTATCCAGGAGGGTCTTGAAAATTTTCAAAATCAAGTATTATCTTAAGAGTGACAACTTTTAAGGCTGAATTATACTTCCCTACAGCAGAACTTACGCTAAATCTTGTTATTTAATGGAAGTCTTAAATCTAGGTCCCATTGTTCAAGAGGGTCTTGAAAATTTCGAATTGAATTCTATCCTAAGAACGAAAACTTCAAAGCCAATTTATATTTCTTTGGGGTAAAACTTATGCTAGATCTTGTTACTCATGAATTTTCTGAATTTTAAGCTAGGTCCCATTATCCAGGAGAGTCCTGAGAATTTACGGTCAAACCTGTCTGGTGCTTGCTTTTCCTTATGGAGGGTTTCTCCGAAACAAACGAAATTTGCTGCCCATGTTTCAAATCAAAGAAAAATCTTGTCAATTTAAAAATGTGGTGGTTAGTTTGTAGCATTCTTGCTAAAGGTGGACTCTCCACTCCCGTGCTTTGCTTTGACTGGCTGCCTTGAACTGGCCAAGAATTGTTTGACTTTTTGACTGATCCTCAACAGCAGGACCCTGAATGACCCGAGTGCTCTATACCCAAACTGTTGTTTTACATTTCTGACCCTTCTATCTGAACCTCTGCATATCCCATGAAATTACTAAATCATTCCATCGATGGAACTTTCACTGACATTTTGTGTCCCACTTTACATCATACTATCTTTGTCATGTTTTGGCCGCACTGTGCTTTGTGTAATTTTGGAAGTTGGTAGTGAACATTGAAATCCTTTATTATTTGCTTAAACAAAACTGACAATTGGAAACATATTAGAGAAATAAACCCAAAAGAAATGATATGCAATGACTTCGAGAGTTAGTTCTAAAGTAGAAAATCCAAAACTGGATGACTGTTTAAGGGGAAAAAGAAAAGAGACTTATCTGAGTGGAGCGGCTGGTACCAATGATCATGACATGCATTTTGGATTAATCAGCCCAATCTGCCCAACCAACCAACTTTTAGTTGTCATACTTTATGCCCCAAGATCTTCAAAACCATAATTCTTCACCAAATCACTGACTCTGTTCAGCCTGCGGTGCCCTGAAAGATTTTCACCAACAAACCTCTTTCATTTTTTCCTCTCTCAACTCACTATCACCTTACGGTGCCCATGATGGTTTTCACCTATAAGACTCTCTCATTTTAATTTCTCTCAGCTTCTGTCGCCTTACGGTGTATACGAGGGTTTTCATCAATAAAACTCTCTCATTTTTTACTTTTCCTACTTAGAGCGGAGTGTTGCCCTTGATATGAATCACCTTTACTTGCTTGACTTGGCATCTCTGGAAGACTGATCAGAGGTTTTTATTTGAATCGTAATGTGGGCTTTGGATGGGGTTAGAAAGAAAGGATATCAAAAGGCTCAACACAACTCAACTGGGTTCAAAAATTATAACTTTTAGGATCAAATTTCTTACAACAACCACAACTGCTGCCCTAGTTTCTTTGCTTGGGGACTTTTGAATTTTTATTTTGGTGGTACCGAATCGTGAGGCTGCCTATGTATCCTTAAAAGGAATCAGGTCGAACGTAGTTCATGTCATAGGAATTACTTTGTTGTTGTGATTTTTCTCTTTCTTTTCGTTCTTTCTTATCTTCTCTTCTTTTTTCTTTTCTTCTTTTCTTCTCTCTTTTTTTTCCCACTCGTTTAATTCTTTTCTTTCTCTTTTCCTCTTAGCCTTCACTTATCTTCCGTGCTCGCGCTTCCGAACTTTGCTAGTAATTTCAAAAGAGGGGTATGAAAGGAAATAAATAAGGCTCGAAGGGGTAACAAAGGATAAAGTGTTTAGATAGCAGAACAAAATGCCTTCGTCATTCCAAT